CACTCATGACGTGCTTCATTAGGGCAGAAACATATAGTATGCCACTAATAAAGGAAATATTAGCTGATTAATTTTTGCATAATTCCTTTACATGCCAGTTACGGAGATCAATTCAGAATTTGCTTGAAAACAACTAATACTCGAACCACAAAAAGTATAATACGACAGAAAGCTTTTAAACCTAATAAGCCCCGTTGCTGAAGCTTTTCAAGACATTTTATGACAGAAGCTTTTAAAAGATAATTAATATGGCAGAAAGTAAAGGTAAAAAGAGATCGAACGAAGCTCACTTGTTCATAAGCAACAGCTGTAAGCACACATTTGCCAAGTAGAAGAACTTTGTGCACAAATACATCCACGTAACAAAAAATGCCGAATATGGCAAATTGCAAAACCAAAATAGGCGATGCGGGCGAATTTGCTTTTTGTGAAGTCGTCGATGGAAACGAAGAGCTCCCTAAAAAAATACTCTAAGATAACCGTAATAAAGGATAAAGGGCGGAGGTGGTTTAGTGGCAAGTGGCGCACCATCACACATGCAAGGTCACGGGTTTACATCCCGGATCGATATCCGCTTACCAAGTCAACCAAGTCTTCTACCCCTCTGGGGTTGACTAATTGGTACCACACTCGTGTGGAAGGAAAGCACTGACTCGCACATCGGATGGCCACCGCAAGACATTGTATCGGCCTTATACGCATTCAATAGGCCACTACGGTTCCATGTGGAAGTCGAATGTGTAGGCGCATCCCTCAGGCGGGATTCATTACGCCCACTAACGCCCAGAGACTTTATCGTTCTCCTATGCTTCATTCTGTACCGTAATAAAGTACAAGGACATCAACCACAACAATGATCAAAGCTATAGATTCCCTTAAGTACTCTATCGACCGTGATGGTGAAACAATAGGTATAAACTAAAATACTTCCTTAGGCCCCTTAATCAATTACACCACCTCTTCAGAGTCAGCTATCAGCTACAAAACCAGCTCAGAACAGTATTACGGAATCGCTAACTCCGACATCGCCTGGCCTTGATTCGATTTGGCCATTGATATGATTTGCAAAGGCCAAATGATGATCAAGTTAGCGATTCCGTGACGCTCAAATCAGACAATGATCATCAGCCTCAGACAATCAAATTCAACTTTGTGGTGTACCCCAAAAAGATTTATCAATGCCAGCTGCTTCATTCTCACTGATAATCATTCCACAGCCGAACCCGAGTAAAAACAGAAGAAAGGCAAACCTGAAGATGAACGGTGAGCGATCTTATATTTGCTCGTTTAATATCCGGTTTGATGTTGTTCGGATCAGACGACAGCTTGACTACTTCATGGATTTTAATACCTGGAAACCATGCCTTTAATTCAACCACCATCATAGCTACATACTCAAGAGATGTCTTCAGAGTTGGCCATCAACTTCGAATCCACTGACCACCAACGAACTCAAAAATAAATAAATAATTTTAAAAATAAAAAGTATAAACAAATAAAATTAACAAATATTCATATAAATAAAGTGTTTTATGTTGTTTTCATGATTACTCAGAAGAAAGGAAGAATCGAAGTGGAAAAATGTCAAAGAAAATCAAACAGTACCCGAATGGCAGGCCAGATATTGCCATAAAATACTGGGAAGTCGAAAGCAGGCTGCTTCAGCCAAAAGAAAAAATGGTACCCACTGAAAATTTGGAAAAATGGGAACGGCATTCTTTTAAATTCAAGACTTAGCTGTGCGATACAATAAAATTACCTGGTAGTAACTAATTTGCCGTTTACGGCGATCGTCATCAGGCATACCAGCAACAGCTTGGCTCATAGGCACATAGTACGTGTCTTGGGCCCAACAATAATTCTCAGCATACTGAAAGAAAGAATTTAGTGGATTTGACTCATTCTAGAAGGCTTTTAGAAGCCAAATACACTGACCTGCTCCCATGAGCTGCTAAATATGTCGGGCACTAAACATTCTATCGGTTTCCCTCCGAATTGCTGAAACCATAGGCGTACTACATAACAAAAATATGCAGGAAAAATATTTAGACAACTTAAAATAGGCATAAGAGAAGCAAAATTTATTTTCCATTAGATGAAAAAAATTTGTCTGATGCTTGTCAACTCGCTAGTGTAAGGGATATGGTGCCCGGAAAGCACAAGTACGGGCTTGAGTCCCGTCTGAGACTGAAGTTTTGCCCACAAATCATCAAACTTGTGAGAAAAAGATTGTTGAAGCCTAGAACTCCTAACAGGGGATCGGTGATTGCTCCACTCTGAAGGTATGCCCAACTGAGTTTAAAAAATGAGTCGAAAAAGCCCGTTAACAGCAATTCGTCAAGTTCACACTTTGATGTAATTTTTTTGAAATTTTTAATGACGATTCAACTGGGGTCCTTGACCGTGAAGAGGCCCCCCTATCGGTTAGGCAACAGTCATTTCGTGAAAAAACCGTCCTATTGCATTAACCTTACTTATGCTGCTAGTTACGGTCCCCCACCCATCTGATAAGACTCACACCCATTCATTGTAAGGCATTTCAGATAGACTTGAAAAACATAAACTTGAGTTCAAACTCCACCGTCCACTTTTTCCTTGAATGCACGACATTTGCCATGTTTTTGCCCCGTGATGGGGTCTCGCATGACAGGGTAAAGGGGTCGTATCGGATGATTTTTATAACACGCCATTTTTCAAAGCAATTCTTCTGTCTTCAGAGTAATGTTGAGGTCACCTGCTCCCCTACACAGGAATTACTATTCGCCCTCGTTATGAAAGGGTCTTTGCGATAAACGTGAAGGGAATCGGATGACTCGATGAACTGATATTTTTTCGTAGGCCGATAAACATGTCCCTAGCGACAGCAGTATCGCGATATCCTACATATACCCATTCTGCCTATTCCAAGGGGACCCTCTTAGACGCGTACGAGGCATCGTATTTCAAGGTTACTTTTACTACACAACCAAACAATATGAAGCTTTCTTATTTTAAAATCGGAAACATTGCTCCCTTTGATAAGCGGTTCCACGATTTTATGCAATTCGGAGCCCATTCTGCAGACGGCCGGGTCTTTTCCGACAAAGCGCAGCTAATCTTCCTTAACGTAACGACGACTGCACTAACTCGTTCAGTTGACTGCCCCTCAAAAAACCTACGCTCTTCATAATTTTTACGATCGCTTCCCTTTCTTTTTACGATCCCGTTCTCGCATTGGCATCAAAACGTTTACTTCATTGGGCTTTACTGACTTTCTATGATTGCCTTGGGCATCTCTGTACTCAAAACTGCGGGAGGTTGGTTTATAAGGTTGCCATCCGTTGGTTCTTTTCAGCGAAATCCCATTCTGAGCAGAAAAAAATTTCTTGGCGCTTCTAACAATCAAGAAAAGGCTAGGCACGAACGAACAGCCTTGAAATTTCAAAAGAAAAAGTGAAATCAGGCGAAAGAAATTCAATCAACGATTAGAAAAAGTCAAAGGGGAAAACAAGCATACCTTAAAGCTAACTAACACTGCGAGACCAATCAAAATATTGCATGTGAAATA